GGATTAGATCCTTAGTAACACAGGCATATTTTTGTGCTTCATATCTTCTGTAGATTTACAGCTGTCAGGTTTTTTCTCTGCTACAATATAGAACTAAATGCAATAATTGATATTAGAAATGATGTACAATTTCTAATTTAATCTGTGCAATTTCTTAGAACCAAAATTGTCTTCTCAGTTTCTTTTGATACAGATTTTGTTTTTCAGGCAGTCACCCAGTCTTGTGTATTTCCTTATTTTTTGTTTGGTTTTATTTCTTAGTGTTCCTACTTCCATTTTTTAATGGAATGAAGTATTCACTTATAGATCTCAAATAATTGGAACAAAATAAGATGTGCAGGAATAGTTTTCTCCACTATAGAGAAAAGAAAGCAGATAAATGTGTGCATCAAACTGTTAGAGCTGCAGTCTTCAGTCTGTATTTTTAAATCATCTCTTACTGCTTTAGATTTATTTTTACATAGCAACCCTACCTCTGCAACTCTTCCAATAATACTGAAAATGGTATGATAGATTAAACTTTGTTTACTCTTGAGGAATGATTGCTTAAGCTCTGGACGTGCTACGTGACGTATGGCCTACAGATGTATCTTGGTTGCAGAGGCAAAAATATATGTCCATAGTGACTGGCAAGAAGTTACGGAAGTGTGAGAAGGGACTGCCAGTGCCTTCCTGAGGCTGAGCAGGTTGTTAACTTTGCAGTTTGTGTTAGAACATCTGTTGGCTGCCTACTTATTAAAAAAACCCAGTCTGTAAAGGAAGCACAGCTTGTTCTTTGAATATTGTTACCTACTGGGCCAAATCATTCATCTGGCCTCTGTGGAAGACACAGGTTGTGATTTTTTTTTTTTAAAAAAAAAAAGTGAGTGTGTGAGAGCATGAAAGAAAAAGGAAGGAAAGGAGGAAGGGAGGAGAAATGAAACACTGGTAAATAATAGGTCTCTCTGGTTGTAGGTGTATAGAAATATCTGTGTTCCTTTTCTCAACGTTTTCAAGGAATTGTGGCTCTTGGATTGCCCAGTGGCCATTGTTAGAAAGCATCTTTCCCTTGTGCCACTGGCTCCGTTAATAGCATCATCCCTGATTCTATCTTGTATCCATTATGAATATACATTTCTAGGGGAAATTCTGGAACCAGGCATATATATGCTTTACAACAGGGAACAAGGATCAAAGGAAACACTTCCATTCTTCCACAGAAAGGAAGGAAAACTTTCCCAGTGTTCAATTTTATGTAGAATGCAGGGACTTTTACATGTTGAATGTGTAGTGGGTGTAGGTAGGTGTACGTGCTCTGAATCTATCTGTACTTTTTCCCTATGATCATGTAAGAATTGTCAGAGTCATACCAGAATAATAGAAATTACAGAACTGCTAACTGGGAGAGACCTCTGGAGGTTACCTAGTCCTTCCACTCCTAGCAGGACTGTTGCCAGCACTAGGTCAGGTCAGCTGTACTTTTGCCTAGCTGCATCTTCAAAACTTCCTGCGCTGAAGCTGCATGTTCCTGTTCTGCACTACCCTTCTGATAAAGGAGATTTTCTTAATATCCTGTGAACCTCCAAACCTGCAGCTTGTGGCTGTTTCCCCTTATTTTACCATGTGCTGCTACTTAGCGTTTTGCTTCCTAGTCTTTTTAACCCCGCTTCAAATAGTTGTAATCTATTGTTAGACTTTCACTTAGCCCCCTCTTTGATGGAGAGATCTTTCCTTCAGTGGAGTCTGCAGTTTCTCAATACCCTTTTTGAACTAAGACACCCAAAACTGTAGTAGTGTTGCAGCCTCACAACACTGAGTAGACGTGGATAATAATTTCATAGAATTGTAGAATGCTTTGGGTTGGAAGGGACCTTTAGAGGTCATCTAGCCCAGCCCCCCTGCCGTGAGCAGGGACAGCTTTAACCAGATCAGGGTGCTCAGAGCCCCGTCCAATCTGACCTTGAATGTTTCTAGGGATGGGGCCTCCACTACCCTCTCTGGGCAACCTGTTCCAGTGCTTCACCACCCTCATTGTAAAAAATTTCTTTCTAATGTCTATTCTAAATCTATTCTTCTTTAGTTAAAATCCATTATTCCTTGTCCTGTCACAACAGGCCTTGTTAAAAAGATTCTCCCCGTCTTTCCTGTAGGCCACCTTTAAGTACTGGAAGGTCGCTCTATCTGCTCATCATGCTATTCCTAATACAGCCCAATATGGAATTTGTCTGATTTACAGTGAGTGCATATTTAACTTGGTGCCCACTGTGACTTCCAGATCCTTTCTCAGCCCATATTGATATGGGATTATTTGACTTGAGGTGCAGAACTTTACGTTTTCCTTGCTAAGATTCATATGGCTTCTGTTGGTCTAGCTGTCAAGGCTTCTCATGGTCCATCTGCTAAGTGACACACACTGACTTTAAGCCCACCATTGGGTTTAAAAAATGAGCTTGTCTTACATCCCACTTTGTTTGAATAGAACGTTTGCAATACTGTTTAGGAAATAACAAACAGGCCTGCTTCCATAAAAGGGAAATAAAATAAACAGGAACAAGACCAATATTCTTTTAAAAGATGGATGCTAAATGATAGGGTAAAGCTGTTAGATTTGAACTGTCACATTAAAATGAACTGCAAGGGTATGTAACCATTAAGCAAGTTACACTGGGACTAGGACTGGTGCCTAACCCAAATAGCAGAAGAGCATTAGAACATTCTTTGAAGGGGAGCAGTGAAGGGCAAAGATGCTTTTTAGGATGGAATCTGGTAGGTTGATGGGTGGGATTAAATTACATATTTGCCTGTAATAACAGGACACTGGACCTGATGACCCAAGAGGTCATCTTGGCCCAGAAGGTCCCTTCCAGTCCTGTGTCCTATGTTCCCTTTATGTAAAGAAGCTGTTGAAATTTTGCATATATGAAACTTCCTATCTCTTTTGTCTCACCTTTTCTTTTACTACTATGATTTTGATATATATTTTGCCCATAGCAAATGCCAACTATAATATTTTTGTCTTCCTTATGTTGTCTTACATTATTTTTCTTTCTAAATCCAAGCTGCAGACTTAGTTATATGCAGGGAGACAGAAATAGCTGTTATTGTGAAATGTGTACATGGTGGGATTTGCTTGAATTTAAGCACTTTGCAGTATGTTTTTCAGGAATGCTGATAATTCATTTTTTTGTAACTTCTGTGGTGCTCTCTAACCAAAGAAATCTGGCTTTTTGTGCACAAACCATTCACATTTCTTCTGTAAGGCCACTTCACTCTTGTTATCCAGTAATTGCTCCAGTTTATTGGTGATAAATTAAGTGGAAGGGACAATTTTGAAATAAGTATTAGGAAAAAAATCCGGAGAAGGGAGCAAGGAGAAGGAGGATGTCAGTCAGTTTCACTGGGCTGGAAGATCTCATGCAAAATACAATGCAGCTGAGGAGAAGCTGCCTTGGGTGAAGCTCTCCAGTGTTTATGAAGTGTACTCAGAGGAGAAAGGCAGGAGTATGGGACTGAGCTGAGCAGAGAATGAGATCCAGGAATCCTTGCTTTGCACTAGGAGAAAGCCTTACCTCTCACAGTGATCCCAGGGTGCTGTTGGAGATGAAGACCTGGAGAGGAGTATGTAGTTTATTGATAAGCCTCTACATTTATTAAGTCACCAGTGCCAGATTTATACATGGATATATCACATCCTATACGTAACCAACTCTAAATGGCCTTTTCACAGGGAAAAGAAATCTAGCCTCCCAAATTAAAGACTTTGCACACAAGAATATAAAGATTTTTTTTTTTAAATTGCAAATGGTCAAGGCTTGTTTTTTATTTGGTTATATGTGAAAGTGCCAAGCTGTGTAACAAATAGCAAATACATAGTTTCACGTGTAATGTTTGTTGCTGTATTTGAGTATATTATAGTAGAAGATTGTAATCCTTACTGAGCGGTTATAGTCCATATAATTAATGCTGCGTGTGATGTAGGCAACATCATGTCTTCCTAAACAAGTTTAAAAAAAATGAATCATTCTCTTTGTGTCTTTTATTCTTGGCTCTAATATTCGCATAGCAACAGATAACTAAACAAAGTATTCTACAAAGTGCTGAAATGATGATTTCTGAAGGTAAAAAGAACAAATGTGTTAACTGATCTGTTTTGATAGCAATGAACTTCTACAGTTTATCCAAATCAAATACGCTGTTACTTATAGAAAGCAGCAGCCACAAAAAACATATTATCCAATTAATTATCTAGGAAAAGAGATTCAGTGTATAACTCTGTTTAAAGTCAGACTTTTGATGAAATGAAGAAACTAATAATGTTTAAAAAAAGCATTTAAACAAATCTAAAGTTGGAGCTTCAATAATACAAGGTGGTCATACATTAACTTAAAATTTCTTTGAGCGTATTAGGGTGATTTAAAGAAATTCTGGTGATATGGAAGGAAGAGTAAGTCAGTGTAAACTTCCTCATCAAGATGAAAAAGTTGCAAGACAGTGTAAAATTAAACGAAGACCCTCTTAAATAGCTTATAACTTTTTGAATCTCCTTAGTACTGGATAACACTGTTTCAAACTCCCTTATTAGGACAACTCTGTGGGTCCTAATTAAGGCTGATGTAATGAATGGTGAAAGTAAGTACGCCACTGCATACCTTTTAAGGATATTTCCAGGGCCCTGTTCTACAGCATTTTCTGGTTTTAATGAATGCAAAGAATCCTATTGACCTGGATGGGGCTATTTGCTTAAGCAAAGGTACAGTATACTTCCATGTTTGCAGAAACAGAGCCTTTTTCTCTCACAGAATGTGAAAACAGGAAAATCTCATGCAATTATGTAATTACAGCCTTGTCTGTACAGCTATCATTAAGTGCTATGCAATTAAAACCTGTAAAATAAACTGCCATGAAGTATTGCATCTCCTTAGTCCTGATCAATACAACTTACCCACTTATTGCAAATTCTAACTAGTAAAAGAGCTGTTAAATCATGCTGTCTCTCATTGTACTTTTTTTGTCTTTTACAGGAAAAAGTAGAATATGCCTTCCTGATAATTTTTACTATTGAAACATTTTTGAAGATTATAGCATATGGATTATTATTACATCCCAATGCGTATGTTAGAAATGGATGGAATTTATTGGATTTTGTAATAGTAGTAGTAGGGTAAGTAACTTATCCTTCATCATACAAAGATTTAAAATCTTCTTTACAGTGAGGTAGATACAGGTCTGTTTGGCTGTAAGGTAGATACAGGTCTGTTTGGCTTGATTTCTATTCCTTTGGAGTAAAAGAATGAACTGATATGAGTGAAAAATTCAAAACAAAAGTCCTAAAAGTTCTCAATGCTATCTGTGGCTGTAGGCTGTGTTGCACAATCAGCTTTATAGTAAAAGTTCCTAGGGAATTCTGAGTTCTGCTGATAATTTTCCTTGGTTGTTGCCTTGGAGAATCTTTTCAATCTGACTTTTTCCAAGATGAACTCCTGATGTCTTTCCATGTGATAAAGGTTTATGTATTTAGATCCTTACATTGTTATGTCATTTATTCATTTATCCCTATACTGTGGTTATGTGGGGTTCATCTATTCTACAAAGACCTCTGGAAGAACCTACATGTTTTGAAGTGGAGGAGGGTGGTCGGGGAGACAGAGTTGAGTGAGTGATTCCCCAACCTTCCAAAAATCTGAGGAAAATCGGACACTTAAGTACTTTCCTTTGGGGTGCTGCACATCGGGTCCCAGATATATATGATTTTGGCTTGCCTGGGGGAGAATGTATGCTAAAAATGCCTTTTTTTTTTTTTTTTAACCCTGTGCACCTTGCTGTACCAGGAAACCCTGGAGAGTTTGTTCTGCTCCTCAGAGGAGGGACTGCTCGGGCCTTATACAGGTTACAGAAGAGTGGAGAGTGGAAGGTGCCACATTTACATTATGCACCTGCTTATCATAAATAAGGCATCTGGCTTTCTTGTCAGCAACTTTGTGTCAGTTGTCGTGCTAGTTCATTAGAAGATCCTACCTTCAGCTATCTAGGGAATTAATCTTGAGGCATATATTCCCCAATTCCCTAAATATGGAGGAGATTATATTGAAAAAAAAAAAGGAATTTCCAGTACTGTAAATTCTGTTTACCGAAAACGTTTATTCCTATAGCATATGGAAAACATTGTCCACATATAACTTTGTTGTGGCTGGCTTGCAAAGAAGACCTTGGCATGCAATGTGCAATTCTAATTTAATTTTTTAAGTTCAAACTATATCAAGGTTGCCTGTAACTGAAAAGGGCCAGAAATTAGAGTGTGTGCTGCTCTTAATTCATGCCGTTATATTAAGGGAAACAAAAAAGATGCAAAGTAAAGGAATTTGTGGTAAAGCATTATTAAATTTGGGCAAGTATTATGAATGTATGAATACCCAATTTATCTGATTCTGAGATAGTAAACGTCACTGAGAATATTGTATTTGGGCCAGTTGCTTGGCATTCAGGTAGTTTTGGTCCAGGACTAAAATTTTGTATATAAATAGATCCTTCATCAGGTCAGGCCTTTCTCAACAGATTGGCCTCTGTGCCTGAAGGGGAAGCTTGGTGGGCAGGTGTGGAGACTATCACACGTAAGAGCTCTATTCTCTTGCCAGGTAGTCACTTGAATAGACCTCTTCCCTCTTGTCAAGTGACCGTGGAGTTACAGTAACCCTGGAGCAGTCTAATTAATATGACCTCTATCTTTGGCTGTGTCCTAAATACATGATAACTAAAAAATTTTCCATTAACTCATAAAACACTCATTATTGGAGGCTAAATCTAGTTAGGTCAAATGCTCACACTGAGTCCAAGAAAAATACGAAGAAAAAAGGACTATATCTTATCAAATACCTAAAATATCACACTAATATTTAAATCCTAGCTCAAACCCAAAACTTTTGGAATATAAACTGTTGTGTAGGTTGTCATCAATCTACCTCGAAGATAAGGTGGACCCTTTATAACACACAGGGCACTGACAAAACTGTGAGCAATATTTTTGTTCTTGCACTCTGTGAGCAATATTTTTGTTACTTCTTTTAAGAAGAGTACAATCCACATAAGTAAGCAAGCATGAGTCCATTTATTTAATTAATACTTAAAAGCCCAGTGAAAAATTGATTTTCATATATAACCCAAGGTGGATATGGAATCACTTCTGGATCTGATTTTATTTGACTAGTTTCATTGTGAAATTTCATTAGGTATTTTAATAGCTTTGAAAGAGCTGCCATGATGTCCTATATTGGATGTATTAGATGAAGTTTGCTTCATGTGCTTTCTCAGCAGAAACTGTAGCAGTCCAAATACATAAATCTTAATTATACCAAAAGAAATCTCTGCTAGCAAAAGGGAAGCATGTATAGAGACTTTTTTCCACATCAAATTTGGCACTTAAACTTTGATAAACTGTACAGGAAAATATAAGTTTTAAAAGTAACAAAGGAGTTCAACGGTTTTATACCTAAATTTCTTTATAGGGTAGGCATAAAATGACAGAGCTGTAGATGGACATAGGTGTGAATGTGATGTTTTCTCCTGTCTTTCTCACTTCTCTCTGAAACCAGTTAGAGTATTAATTACTTTCAGACCAGTCTACTACTTGTCTGCATGCTATGCACAGAACATCCGTTGGTTTCTGTGAAGGAATAAGGTCCTGGTAGAGAAAGCTTTCATAGCTCCTTCCTATGCCTGTAGCCCTTTAATTTTCTGAATGATGTATGGACTGACAGGGTGAAAACAGCTTCTCGTAATTTGGGACTTGATTCAGAAGTCTGTTTAATCATGTCTGCCATTAGAGCATGAATAGTCACTCTGAAATCATTGAGATGGCTCATTTTCTTAGAATTATGCTTCTATTAAATTATAGGGCTGAATCAGGACCTGAAATACTGTCTAGATTTCTATGGTTATAGCAGTATGTAGGTTGCTGGTGTTCATTCTAAGACCTGTAGTCTTCATGGCTGGGTTTCGCTCTAGAGGAGAATGAAGCAGAATAGGGATGGGTGTTGACTGATACAGGTCAATTGCTGACTGGGGGAAGAGAAGAAAGTCTTCAGTATTCTAGTTTGGGCAACCTATTAAATATTACATGATTCCTAGCAACTGTCCAGCATGACAGAGCTGTGAGCCAGAGTTGTGAAAACTTTTCTTGACAAAACCAAAAACCTGCATGTTTCAGGGAGTCCTTTACAAGTGGGAAACATTTTTCAGGATTACAAAACTTTACTGACTTGATAATCCTTTCAGCAGAAGTTCAGTTTTGCAACTACTGAACTGCAGACTTTGTGCAAAGGATAATATGGTTTGCATGGTCTAGCCACAGTCTAGAAACCATGCATTTGGAATGCAGGTCAAAACTAAAATAAACCTAAGATTACTTTGCACTTCAACCATTTGCATCGCTTCAAATTGTTGCTAGAAGTGGGGAAGAAAAATAAAACTGTTGCCTTCCAAACTGTTGTAATGAATTACTAGATCATTTCTGCAGTGAAGAAATACAGTATAATAAATGAGTTATCTAGGAATATTTTTATCCTCAAAGATATTATGTGTAAGAAACAAATCTTTTTGGTGTTATTAAATGTTGGACTCCAATTATTTTTCATTATTCAGTTTTTGCTGACTGTATTTAGAATATTGAACTGCAGTGTCACTTGGAGTTCATGTATTCCACCAAAATTAAAACAGATGGTTTCTTGTGATTATCTATTTCATGTTCTAAAGAGAAGACTAATTCTCCAAACCTTACAGCTAAAACATTTGAAGAGAGAAGTGGCAAAGTAGCTTCATTTATTTAAAAATAGCAGATTGTGTATGCAAGCAGAATGCTAATTTATTGGATACTGTGTGATCATCGCTCTCTGGAGGGATTAGAAGCTCTTCCACTTCATAACTTTTCCTGTCTTGATTTAATGTGTAAATATACCGCTCATTTTGAAAGCTGAACAGCTTTTCAGTATTATCTGTAGTTCAAGTAATTTCCTAATACCTTTGGTTGCATGGTAAATGGATGGTGATGACCTTACCCTTCATCTCATTTTCTAGGTTATTTAGTGTAATATTGGAACAATTAACCAAAGAAACAGAAGGTGGCAGCCACTCAGGTGGCAAACCTGGTGGCTTTGATGTCAAAGCCCTAAGAGCCTTTCGTGTATTGCGACCTCTCCGGCTTGTATCAGGAGTGCCCAGTAAGCTCTTTTCTATTTAATTCCATTGGAATGAATACTGTAACTGATCTGATTATTTACGTTTCTTGTTCCAGACACTAACATAAATGAGATAATATAAAGTTGGTTTTTTTGTTATGTGGTTATGTATATACGTTTCGAGATGAATGATGCCCTATTTCAAGTTGAACAAAGGATTGTGAATTCATTCAGTGTATGATCTTCTTACACAGTTCAATAAGCAGACAGGGGGATACATTTCCTTTTTAGAAGCTTTATATAAAAGTAAATTACGTGTTAAAATGTAAATACACCAGGAAAAAAAAAATCAGATTTTTTTTTTCATTCCAAAATCCTGCAGAACTGAAAGTGTAGGTGGTCCTAAAATAGTTTATATGTTGGTAAATGTATGCCAAATCACATTACACATTTCATATTTCCTGCACCCTCCAATGCACATGAATGCAAATTAGCTCAATAGAGCTAACAGATAAATTAGGAAATTTAAAAAGTAGAACAATATTATTTAAAGAAAGCAATTGAATTTTCTGATAATCTTTCCTGTTTTCTTTTAATATGTTATTAATTACTAAAGCTATTTGGGCTGAATAAGAGGTTCATGGCTTACAATTCAGCTCTTTCCAAGACATTCAAAAGAAGAATCCTAATGCTGTGTTTATTATATCATAGTCTGTTACATGAAAATGATCGTGATGGTATATATTTAGCAAAAGAACTTCAGTGAAGAAAAAAGCAGTCTTATGAAATGTCAGAAAGGAAGTCCATTAAAATAAAAATGAGCCATATTTTGTTCTCATTGGTACTGTGGCAGTTTCATTAGTCTGGGATTTACTTCTTTTGGTAAGACCAAAATTTGGCTAAATATTTAATTAAGGAGAAAAGAAAAGAAAAATGAAGTAGTTCTGAAAATTATGTGAGGGATAAATGATGAACAAGTTTGTTCAGAGTAAAAATGTGTTTTTCCAGGCAACTATACTCTGTTTATCAATCCAGACCAAAAATACAGTTCTGCAATTGGCCGAGCATATATTTTTCTCAGGACTTGCCACAAAGTTGTGGTTGTAGCACAGAACTTTAAAAAAGTCGTATAAAATGACCTATAGCCACACACTGACTACATGCCCTTTCTTTCAAAAAACCATAAATTCTTGTGACATGTTTCAAGTATTGACTTCTATGGCATAACCTTTGTTAACAGAGGAAATAATTAGACTTTGACACAAAGTTTTAGATTCTTATGAAGTATTTTATATTACAGGAACATTTTGTGTCTCTGGGCAGTAGAAATTTTTTTACAACTGATTCACTCTGCATGCCTGTATCATTAATTTCTAATAATGTATAATTATAGAAAATTTGGTAAGGCAAGATGTAGAAGTCTGGTTCATATCTTGTATCCTCTTCTTTACTTTTAGGTTTACAAGTTGTCCTGAACTCCATTATAAAAGCCATGGTCCCCCTCCTCCATATTGCCCTTTTGGTATTATTTGTAATCATAATCTATGCTATTATAGGATTGGAACTTTTTATTGGAAAAATGCACAAATCTTGTTTTCTTATTGATTCAGGTAAGTCATGAAACTGTTGACTAAACTAAGGGATTAATTATGTTTCTTTCAAGTCTGTGGGACTTCAGTTTGAAATAGAACAGGGGCCCAAAGCACTAAAACTGTTGTAACCCCAGTTTTCACTGTGGTTCATAGTTTTAGTAAGAGTACATTAAGTTTAAAAAACAACAACAACGCAAACTAGTTAGAGACTAGAACATGCTCTGGATAGGTTTTCATTTCTGAAATGTGTAACTGAAATGTCAGTAGTGAAAATAGTAAGAGTGTCCACAAGGGACAACTCAATAGTTTTTTTCTAATCTGATTACTCAAGAGCTAGCTAGTCCTATTCCAGGGAAGATACACTTTCCTGAGTTCACAATCTGGCCATGTCTCTTCTTCAAGATTGTGGCAGTGTGGTAAGAAGTGCAGTTCTGAAATGAGTAATGAAAGAAAACAGTGATCCTCTGTCCAGGTGAAATGATGAAATGAAAGTGTTTGTTATGGGAGAATTTTGAAGGAGTGAAACATCATGAGGGAGTATCTGATGGCTAAGGGTACATTTCTGTTGGTTAAATAATGAAGTAGACTATACGTAGGAATTAGTCCAGACCTTTTCCTTGGTGGTCCGTATGTTAGTATGAAGTGCCATGAAGTGAAGAAACAACAATGAAGAGAAAAAAAAAAAACAACACGGGGAGATTCTAAAAAGATATGTTGTATTATTACATGCTTCTTTCCACTGCTTAATTACTCGAGCTCTTTTATACTTTCAGTTTTGATTAGTCTATTTTAAGGCTGTAAGGCCCAGATGTGAGAGACACGAAAAGCTCCAAAGCTCCCACAGGTTTCCTTTCTCAGCATTTCTCAGGTTGATATCTGGATTTACCTTCCAACAGGGTTGATATTTCTTCATGCAAAGAGTTAACTCACAAAAAATTGAGAACTGAAAGATCTGATTTTTTTGTTCAATTTTCAGATATACTAGTTGAAGAAGATCCAGCACCTTGTGCATTCTCAGGGAATGGACGTCAGTGTGTCATGAATGGCACTGAATGTAAGGGTGGATGGGTTGGACCAAATGGAGGCATAACCAACTTTGATAATTTTGCATTTGCAATGTTGACTGTGTTCCAGTGTATAACCATGGAAGGATGGACTGATGTGTTATACTGGGTAAGTTCATAAATCACTGAGCTTTGTTCACTTTTAAACACACTTCAATGTTCAAGTAAGAAATAAGCTGTGTTTT